CGGTTCTATGATAAGTCTGTACTGACTCATAAGTTAATGATACATGTTAATAATTTATGATATTTATATAGATAATACCTACCTATTTTTTTTTTTATTCGTTGCTACGGTGATAAACAAATTGTTAGAAATTAAAATCCCATTTTAAGCGGTTTTTCGTAATTTTTCAGTACTTTTTCCCGTGGCATTAAATAACTATTGAGAAAATCGAAAAATGACCTCTCTAAAGTACCATCTTGGTCCAATTTGCTAAAAGATAAGGTACTATATGTTGAAATCAAAGCACTCCTTCTGGTGGAAATTTTGTATACAGGATATAAAAAAAAATAAAAAAATTAAATAAACACCATTGTAAAACCACTAGCTTCCTTGCTCCGCTCAGAATCTAAAATATTTAATTAGTATTTATGATAGTCACTATTTCTTACAGTGATCATACAAAGAGTAAATACAATATTGAATAAGTAAACATCATACATAAGTGCAGTCTTTTTAAGTCATTTTCTTGTTTGGCATAGAACATAATAGAAGTGACAGCCATGGATTTTGGGGAGCTGTTAGCAATGCTCCTCCCTCGTTGGACATATCAAAACATTGAAACAACATAAAAATAAATTATTATTTATTGTCGAGTATTTTTTTAAAAATATTTTAGCTTTGCCCCCTTCCCACCGTACTTTAAAATCCTGGCTATCCCACTGCAGCTGGCTGAACCTTCTTCATTTTATTGTGTAGAGCACTACTATTTCTGATTATATAATAAGTACAAAGCAAAGTATTATTGCCAAAAAAAAAAAAAAAAACAATTATAATTTATACTATTATGAACTAATGATTATACTGAATCGTCTGAATCTAAACTGTATTTATTTAATTTGAATACAATAGTTGATTTAAAATATACAAGTCTTATTATTAAATATTTTTTACAAAAACGAAAACAAAAATTGATAGAATAAATAAATGTTTTGTTACAAAATTAGAGGGGGAGGGGGGGCAAGGTGGGCATTTGTCCCTGTCTGATTTTAAAAGCGGCCTGATGGGCTGGTGCCCAGTTGTTGCCGTTTTACCATTATTTTATTTTATTAGTGCAAAAACATGCCTATTTTATAAAATTTTCAGAAAATATTATACTATGTACTAAGAAATTATTGTCACAATGATACATTTTTACTAATTGAAAGCTGAAATATGTTTATATTTAGACGTATGCGGGGACGTACACATTGTATGTATGGGTATGTATTTATGTATGTTTGTTTGTGAAAGTGTGTTTTGTGAAGGAAAATTAACATATTAATATTGTTTTATGCAAAACAATAATAATAATTAGTATCATAATCTCATATAGTTTAATTTCTAAAATCTAAAATTAATATAAATTCTAAAAACAACATCCAATTGGCACTCTTATTAATTATCATTGATCACGGACTTCAGTTAACTTGCGACAGTCGTGTATGATTCAACTATTTTGAGTATTGTTTTAATTATTATATTATTTAAGATGATAAGAATTTGTAAATATATCGTATACCTATATAAGAGTAGTAGAGTATGGGCTATAAGTAATGAATCAGGTAAAATTGATTTACAGATAATGCAGTTGATATATTTTCAAAAATAAAAAAAGAAGATGATATCCTAATAGACTACTAATATTTTTATTTATCAATATAAATATTACCATATAATAGTTTATATTTTATATAATAGTACTTTTATCTGATATAGGTATATAATTGTTTTTCTAAAATATCTGCTACCTTATATTTAAAAATGATGTTACCTAGTTAATAAAAAGGGTACCATAAAATAATTTAAGTAGATAATATGTAGTTGCGAGCGAAGAAAGTGGTTTTTTATTTACCCATTTGGGCTGGTCAAAACCTTTGCCCCCCCCCTCTATTGAAAACTGAAATGACGCCATTGTACAAAATATGTGTCTATAAATAGTAAATAGATGTACAATGTGGTGGTCTATCAGTTATTAAGGACTATTCTTCTAAAAACTTGAGATATTGTAAAAGATGACATTGACATTAACTTCTTGACCATGTTTCTATGGACCAGGTATTATTGGTGTTGTAAACTTCTATGGTATCTCCGCAAAGAACGTACAATAAAACCTACAATAAGACAAATCTGATTTAAAAATGTTATTCAAATACAATATTTTTTAACAAAGGTTATAATTAAAAATTAATTATTTTAGTCCTGATACCAGGTTTGTATTAGCACAAAGGCATAATATAAGCAATAAAGGACTATATTCTATCACTTTATATATAGGCCTCAATACTATGAAAGCAAGCGGTTAGGTTATGTTACGCTCAGCAGATCACGTTTAATCTCTACCTTTAAATTCTATAAGAGGTCAATTCACTCTAATTTTTAAACTACTGGAGCTAAAAGTGATCTGCTGAACATTTTCTATGTTACAGACTTGTAAAACGGAGACAACAAATCCCTGTGTAGCGTACCCTCTTAATTGTGGTTAGTATTCATACTAATTACTATTCTTCATTTTTGAATACTTACGTAAAAATGCACAATTAAAATCATTATGCCATCACATCCGCCAACCTGAAATTTATAATTATGTTTATTTATAACACAAAATAAGTAAAATATCAGGTTAACTATTATAGCATTTATATTACAATCACTTAATCCATTAAAGTTTTTCAACTAACTAACTTGTCAACCATTGGTACCCAGATTGAGAACTTCATCCTCCCATTGTAAAAACAAAAATGATATATAAAATGATATTTAAAATGTTGTTTATGGTGTTAGTTATAAAAAAAATGAAATCACAATAAGTAAAAGCAGAAAAGTAAAAATAAATTTTAAATTGACATGTTTATAGAAAAGCAAAGAATTATTTTTTTAAAAATATTAAATAAATTATGTTGTATTTGCGATTTTCACTCATTATAACAGTATTTTACTTACTAGTTAGGTATAATATGTAAAAGTTTAATGTAGGTAATAAGAATATTCTGTTTTTAGGTCTAAAATATTTGTTATTTGTTATTACTATTTTAACTAACCTATGTGGTATATAATATTATCTACAATTTACAATAAGAAATAGCGTAAATATATAAATAAAGTACCTAGTTGATAGATATACTGTGATAAAAAAATAGTCCACTAGCTAAAATAGTGGATAGTAGAGTATTCTGTGAAAATAATAAATCATTTGGTCGATGATAACTGATTAATTAATAACTTTATTACTTTTATTCACAGATCCTATAAGATTAAAACCAGCTTCACTTTTTTCATTTAAAATGTAAAAATGTTCGCTGTCTAGTATAGCATAGATATCTATGTATTCATTAAAGAAAAATCCAAGGGCCGCAGCCCCCCCCCCCTTCTCCCGGGGGAACACCTTGGATGTTGAATATCCATTTTTAAGGTAAAGGTACAGTTAGTCGTTGATTTATATTAAGCATCATGACACTATTGTACATTGAATGATTATCTTTACCATTACAGTATTATGTACATCTGATATACTAGTTAGGGTTTGTTTAACTTACTAAGATTGAAAAATTCCTAGAATTTGGATGAAATGCATAATATAGTTTAGTACCAAAACAATGATGAAAGAAATGGGATGCAAAAATCCAAAAACTGAAAAGAATATTTTGTCAGAGATTCAGAAACTTCAAAAGGGAATCAAATTTGGTGGTTATAAAGAAAATTACAATGTGTCACTTAGTAGAAAGTTTTCAAAGACAAAAATGTTGTGAATGACAAATATGTTGAATAATATTCTAATAAATTAAATGGTAGTAATAACATTGATGTTTTAGCTTACAAAAGCATTAAACATAATTACAAATTTAACCGATATTATATAGTTCAGAAACTGATTAATTTTAATTACCGTAATTTTTCAGTATTGTTCAAATACTATACGGCATACAGTCATAAAAGTTGCGTTTTCGTAGTCGATGGGGGCCTTCCAACTTGAACATTTCATTGTAAAATCAAAACCTGTATTGCAAATAATAAAATAGTAAAATTAAAGTGCCTAATATTTAATAGCTTGCTTCGGTACCTACCTCAACTGAACTACTTGTGAGCTTGAAAGGACATTTGAAGTCAATGTCATCGTATAAACTTGCAATCAAGTATCAACATAAAATTTGTTATATGCACTTTAGATGTTTTTAAATAATGATGAACGAGTTGGTACTTTTTTTTTTAACCTAAAAATTTGTTTAAACGTTGAAGGTGGATTAAGCCAATTAACAAAACTAATTTTGATAAATTACCTACCATCCATACTTAATAATTAACACTAAAAAAAATGAATAAAAAAATGCAAACTGTGAACTTCAAATTTCACTCAAGCACTTTAGAATTAATTACTATTTAATTTATGAAAAACTATAATAATAATTAATAACTCAGAAATTTTATATTATTATCACGATTATATACACAATATTAGATAAGGAATAAAATAACGAAAACTGATAATATGATAACATTAATGGTAACAACCAAACAGTTAACCAAATCAGAATCACGTCCTGCTAACGACATTGGTTTTCCTTTATTTTTTTTACTGTTTCCGATAACTCGCATTTCGCCCTCATCCCGCGACCCGCCAGTACGTCGGACGGCTGGACCTGGACGTATCGTTTTCCGCGCTCGTCGAACGCCGCTACGGATCGCCGCGCACTGTTAATTAATTTCTATGATTAATATCGCCCTTTTAATGTAAACCGCACGACAAGTGACAACGCCAGTCGCCATATTTACACAGACCATAATATTATTATCATTAATATCGACGGCGCATCACAACAGGTCCGAAGGACACAACCACATTCCGCCGCTGCCGTTCCACAGGTACGTGTTCTCCAACTGTTTTCGTCGATCCCGCTAGCACGTCCGGACGTATTCTCCATGATATAATAATCACACACAGAACATGGCCGAGGTATCGTTTACCGCTACTGATCGCCGGTCGATCAATGCAGACCGTCAGAATATTATTATCATCTCCTAATCGCCGTCGTCAACGACACTCTCGACACCGTCCCGACGGATCGCTCGTTTTCGCCGTCGTTGCCGAATCACTTGGCAACGCACACACTTGTAACGTGCCGGAATCCTGGCCGCCTTTTTGCGAACCATCTTCGCTCAAAAATAATATTGTCTACCGCAGCCATGAGCCTAGGCAAGATGACGAAAAAGCCAAGCGGTGCCGTGTCCTCCGCAGAGGAACCCGTCTTCGAGGGAATCGTCCAAAAGGTACGTCGTCGCTAGACCAAGACGACGTCTTGTGTCATACTTACCCGTGTCGCGGACAGCTCTCGGTCAACAGATTCGTCTGTGACTTGAGTTCTGATATTTGGATTAGCTGGTATTTTGAGATATAATTGCGGGGTACCTACCTACTCTGTTTTATTTAACATAAAATATTCTCAGGCACTGGAGGTTTTCATCTACATGTTTGATTTATTACAGTAAGGCACTGGGCACTTACAGGGTACTTACTACAAACATTAACCTATTACGTTTTATTTCAATGGGTGACAAACAGTTAGGATAGCTGGATTATATCGATGTTTTAAAGCAATTATTTTATATTAATTTTGTTATGAATACCTAGTGCCCAACTGTGTTAACTCTTGATGGATGTTCAATACATTTAGGGCCGATCTTACAATGTCCGGTTAAGTGTCTGATAACCCTTACTGGCAGAATATCTTTTTTGTTACCCATAGAATTAACCGACACTTAGCTGGGCATTGTAAAGTAAGTATTATCCGGTACATTTTAAAATCATTTTTGTAGTCTTTTGTGTCATAATTATTTAATAAGATTATACTTTTTATATTTTTTAAAGGCTGGCGATATTGCTTTAGAATTGATTAAACAGATTTCGCTGTTTGTCCAAAATATAAAGAGGAGTACTTACACAAAAGTTCTGAGAAACTCTGGGCAGCTGAGCGACAAAATGTCCCAGTGCATTTATAAATTGAAGAAGACAGAAGAAAAATGGCCAAACAATTTCACAAAGGGTTTTACTTAAAATTCTCTCCCCCTAAACTACATATCACTGATTGTTCTAGTGCTGTGGTAAATAAAATTAATTATGTTTGAGGAGAAATAAATGTAATAATTATTTGTTTGTTTAGGAGTCTGGTCGTGCCAAGGCACTTTTGCCTAGTTTCCAACGTTTTCCGAGGTTTGAAGCTGTGTTTGAATACGTCGCGAGCGGTTGTAAAATGCGTCTTCACGTTGGAAGAGAGTACTTGTTTATTACCTTCCTTTTGGCTGGTTAGTAATTAGTAAACATTTTATTTAAGTTTATTTGAACTAATATTATCCATAATTAATGTTGATTAATTCCTCATATTTATTTGAGGAATTATTTTTATTTCTATTTAATATGAATTTTGATTTGTGTTATTTAACTAAAACTTAAATTTTTAGGTATTACATGCCCGAGTGATGAACGAGCAATCCATGGTGAAGCATCCTCAGCAGCTGAAGTACACTATCAAAAAGCATTACCGTTTGCGTAAGAAAAGATAATGCACCGTGAAATAGAAATTCTGTAGTAATCATGGCTGTTCATGGGAAATGTTAATATATCAGTGGCGCTTGTAAAAGAAGGACTGTATACAGTACACAGGTCAGCTGAGCATTTAAAATACTTCAAGCTTTTGCAACAAGCAGAAAAATATGCAAAGGATAAGAGAATTAACATAAACATATCAATACTTAACGAGAAATATTTTTTATTCATTAACACTGATTAATATTGTTCTATATGATTTATTTTAGTTATGGAAGAATTATGTCGAGGAACGAGTGGAGGCAAACAATACCAGCAACAAACCTGTTCATGAAGATGTGGTAAAGAAACGAAAACCCAACTATGTTTAAGTGCTTGTATCAGAGGTCAGTCCTGAGTTGGATGTCTACGTACAACCTGGATCAGATGAACCCAAATTAGAAAGTCTTGCTCACAACTTGCGGAAACACTTTGATTCTAATCCTCCTATTGCTGGTTCTTACAGTCCAAAACAAGGTAATATTTTAAATATCTGTAATTTATTAACTTTTATATGATGGTTAAATAATATTCATGTTTATTCTATATAATTTTAGGAGAAATGTGTGCAGCTAAGCATAAGGAAGATCAACAGTGGTAAAGTAGAAAAGGTTGCTGTCCCGAGTATTCATGTCTTGTATGTTGATTATGGTGACAGGGACATCGTGATTGCTCAGGAGTGTGCTAATTTGCCTCCAACTTTTAAAAATGATCGACCGTATGCCAAAGAATATGGATTTGCACAAGTGAAACTACCCAAGTTGCCTGAATATCAAAAAGATTTGATTGCCACCATACGTGATAAGTTCATTAACAAGGGAATCAGCATCAATAAAGAGTAACACTTACGACAATCTTACTCACATCACTGTAAAAGATGCCGACAACAAAGAGCATCACTTCAAGAAGTTGGTCGAAGAAGGATTCTTGTTAATTGAAAGACGTGAAAGATATTTCTAAAAATTGGTAATAGAAATAATATTAATTGATCAATTTTCTTTGTATTAAATCATTCAATTTTTTTTCTATCTAGATGACTGAGTACATTGAGGTTCAAGAAAAGGCTAAGAAGGGTCGGTTACATATGTGCTAGTATGGTGACATCACAGAAGATGATACTGAAGAATTTGGTTTTGCTAAATAAATGTTCCATCTGGTTTAATCATCATCATGTTTATTATAAGCGTGTCCAGACCTTGTTCGCAGGTCATGCACAGTAGTGGCATATTCAGGGGAAGTAGGTTTCTGCACCCCCACCCCCTAAACAAAATTTGGTTTCGGTTTAAGGATATGACCTCCAAATTTCTTAATAAGCTTTATCATTATTAATTATTATCTAATACTTCAGAATAAAAAAACAGTATTCCTTTTATTAGATAAATAAAATAACAAGGCAATATAAAATTGTATTTTAAAATATAATTAATGTGTACCTAATACTTTTTACAAATATTTTTATAATCACAAATGGTCTTAATACTTAATATATATTATAATTCTAAACGTCGTTTTGTTGGTATCATCACTTTAAATTCCTCGATAACTTTGTCATAATTAATATTTGTTGTCATCTGTTGTCAGTGGCGTGGCGAACTAAAAATTTTCCAGAGGCCAGTTACAAATATCCCAAGTATTTATGCATAATAATGTATTAATGTAATATAACAAGTTATATTTCAGATCGTTATTGACTACCTATTGAGAATATCATATTCAATTTACTAGGGGACCCACTGGCTACCACCCACCCCTCTATTTAAGAAAAATTTCAGAGACCAAGGCCTCTGAAATTACCGTTCGCCACGCCACTGTCTGTTGTTCTATGAATAGAAACATTAAAGCGTCAAGTCTTTCTTGAGTCATGGTGCTGCGGAGTTTTGTTTTTACAATTGTCAGCTTAGAAAATGCACGTTCGCATGAACAAGTTGTTACCGGAATAGTGGTAAAAAGTACTATTACTCTATAGAAGTGAAGAAAAATACAAGTTCTATTATTTGAATTTAGAAAATCAATCCATTGATGAAGTGTTTTAGAAATGGTTCCACAAGGGAAGCATTATCAATAATTGTAATAGATATTAAAAGTCCACATGATGAATATCAAAATATTTAATATGAAATCAGAATCTAAGAAAAAAAGTGTATATTATTATGTACCGCAATTTATAATGTAAGTTAGATCAAATATCGCAGGTTATGCCTGTGCATGGCAGGCAAGACCCGTAAACACGCCTATGATGTTTATATTAAGTATTGTTAATTAATATTATTATGTACTAATTATATATTATGTATCAAATTATTAACTTTTTATTAATAATATTTGTAAATTATAATTATTGTTTTTTGGGGACAATCGTATGAGTCTCATATTCATTCATTAAATATTACTTTAAATAATGTAATTCAATTTATGTTCAATTTACCAAGGCTTACCAATAATGAAATTGTATACAATGTTTTTAATCTACTTAATATTAGATTTTTATATTATAAGAACTTATTACTCACATATCATAATTTTAAAAATAATACTGTTTATATTGATCATATTTATAATATACGTTATAAAACTAATATTAATCTATATGTTCCTCCATACCATAAACAGTTTGGCATTAAAAGTGCTATTTCAATTGTAATCAGATTATGTAGAATACTTAAAGAATACTTAAAGAATACTTAAAATAAATATATGTAATTTTAAAAATGTAAAAGATTTGAAATTGTACATAAAAAAACGTTGATCTTTCACAAATAGATTTATGATTATCGATAAATAACATATGATGTAATTATGAAAATATGTTTGTAAATTGTCAATAATTGAATTCTATTAAAACTCCCCATCACAAGCTATGCAAATCTTTGTAATTTATCTTATTTTTACCTATACTTTTGTACTATCTTTTTGATTTGCGTAATATATATACTATTATTATTATAATAATAATTATAATTACTATACATTACAAAAGATATATTCTTTACTTTTACTAAAATTAAATGAGTACAGTTCAAAGAAGATTTCAACTTAAATAAAACAAAACTTAGAGATAATATATACTAAAATAACAGTTGTACGGGTTAAAATTTAAATGTGCTAACAGTTCAACAGTAGGTACTAAATAATTTGGGCGGCTGTATTATACTGCGGACTGGCAATCCGTCGGTGCGGATATTGTGTCGATATGTAATCTACATGGTATTATATGATACACTTAAGACACTATTATAACACGAAACTAAGCAATATAAATAATAACGAAATGGTAGAGGTGACAGTGGATATTTTAAGGAATATCACTGGGCCACATTAAAACAAAAAATTTCCCGCAACATATTATGAGCTTATAAAAAACTTTTCACTATTAATTATATTAATTAATAAATAATAATTTATAAAGATAGTTATTATATTGATTATTCATAGATATTCACAGAATATTAATAATATTACTCCAATGCCATTAATTATAAATACTAGTATTCATAACCAACGGTAATACACTGTGTACCTACGACCTACCTACTATTCTATGGATAGGTACCTACGGACAGAGCATATTGCCTCCCCAGTGATATTTAAATGCTTACCCAGTGCGGGTAATCGTGCCACTGACTGACTGACCAACTCATTCTCATAAAGCCATAAGCAGTGGCGGAACTAGGGGGGTGAAGCCGGGGATTGATCCCCGGGTGTAACATTTTAGTGGGCGTAATTTTTCTTTAGTTCTTTATTTAATGCTTGGTGATAGAAGTTAAGAAAACATTTTTATTTCACATTATTTGTTTATGATGTTGTAGTGATGACGTT